GAACAGATATCCAATGCTAGTTAACTGGGGTGCTTCTCTCCGATTGGAGTTTTGTTGGATCTAAATTTGACCGTACAAGACACCCAACTTTACTACCAAGCCAACCTTCATCTTCTTCACACTCACCAGCGAGTATATATATTTCTTCTCCTACCATGATTTCAATTAATATTCTTGTGATGTGCGTTGAGTGAGCTGGGATAGGCTCAATTTGGCATACCTCCAAGTGAGCTTTTTTAGGGCAGCAACTAAATTAGATAAGTATGAACTCCTTCAGCTTTCTAGCCTTGATTAATTCTTCTACTAAACCTTAAATTTGGTGATGCTCCTCCATAATGTGGCCATGGTCCCTATGAAACACATATTACCATGAACTGTCCAAGGTGTGAGCATTCTCCTTCATGGGCACTGGGTACTTAAAGAACTCTTTTTTAAGATAGTCAAAACCAACTCAACCAAAGAAACTCTTAGTGGAGGGTAAGTGGGATAGGTCTGCATAGGGTATGCCAATTCTTCATGGTATATGTGACTACTGCTAGCGGGCTTCTCCACCCTTATACTAGGTGATTCCTCAATAGCCTTTTTTGCAGAGGTCCCCTTAAAGTTTTTAGTGATAATGACCTCGTGCCAAGTTTACTCATTCATCTCTTATGTCCCTACGATGATTTTATTCACTTCCTCACCCTCACTACTACTCACTTATAGAGGAAAGTTCATTTGGTCAAGTGGCTTAGGAGGATTCAACAACCTTGTTGAAATCTTTATCATTTACATGACAATTTGGTCAACTACAATAACTGAATGATAGTTTTTGGCTATTACAAACCAAGTGAACAGTGTAATTACCACCCTTTCTTAATGACACTGGACGCTCAAAGAAGATTGTGATAATGATGAGTATAATAGATAAATATGGATAAGAGGCTTTCAATAAGAAAAGGGTATGTGCTCACACACAAATCCATGCCAATCAAAGAGACTAGAACCACCACCTGATTAGGCTTCAGGATATGAGAAAGAAACCATAACCACCACATGATCGTGTGTCATGATACAGAATATATCACAAAAGGAATTTAAAATTTATAGGTTAACCATCCTCCTTTATTACTCAATAATCAACTTATTTATACACAATTTGTGTCACACAATTGGCTACACCAAAGAAAGAAAAAAAAATGAAGACTACATTTGCTGAAGTTGTATAAATGACTAGAATGTTTCCATAAGCAGAGTCCCGATGTCGGTCTACTGGGATAAGAGAAACTTCAGGTTCGTAGTAGGGGAATAAATTAGCAATGTTGAAGGTGGCAGAGACATTATAATCACAGGGAGATCAATTATGTAAGCATTTTCACTAATTTTTCTAACAATTTGAAAGGGTCTATTAGCTTTAGGCTTTAGTTTTCCAAATGTACCAGGTGGGAACCTCTACTTTCGTAGATGTATCCAAACTTTATCTCCTTCTTTAAACTTGTCTGCTTGTCATGATTTGTTGGCTAAATCTTGACACTTGTTATTATGCTTGTGAATTATTTCTTGGATGTCTTTGTGTAGGCGTTGTATTTCCTTTCTACGTTGGTCTCCATCAGTACTGCTATAGTGGGTAGTTGGAACATATGGCATTAAATCAAAAGGTGTTAAGGGAATATTTCCAAAAACTACCTGAAATGGATTGTGGCTGATGGATTGATATGTGGAGGATTTGAATTCAAATTCAATTTAAGGTAGTATAAGATCCCAGAATCTTAGGTTCTTTACCATAAAACATCTGAGAAGGTTGCCAAGACTCCTATTGATTGTTGTAGTTTGATCGTTAGTTTGATGGCGTGATGTTTAGCCAAGCTTGAGTTTGATACCTAATTTGACCCATATGATCTTTCAGAAGTAACGTAGGAACTTGAGAGCATGATCATAAGTGATGGTCTTTGTTATGTCATGCAAGCATATATACAAATTCTTTAAAATACGAATCAACAACATGAGTGGAAACAAGTGCTTTATTGCAAGGCACGAAATGAGCCATCTTGGAAAATCGGTCCAAGACAACCATGATGGATTCCTTGTTCCATTGAGTCCATGGAAGGCCTAGCACAAAGTCTATGCTAACATCGATCCATGGACCTTCGGGGATGGGTAGGGGAGTATACATCCTCAATTTTTTATTGTGACTTTTAGTTATCACACAAACTCTACAACTTTTTATAAAACAATCAACGTTCCGAGCAAGGAGTGGCTAGAAAAAAATGTTCTTTGACTAAGGAAAGAGTCATATCTCTTCCAAAGTGACATGCGATACATGCCTCATGGAATTTGCTAATAATGGCTAGCCAAGTAGATCCTCATGGAATTCAAAGCTTGTTGCCCAAGAAGAGATGCTCGTACTTAAGGTGATAGAATTGGTATTGTACATGCTGGCGTTTGGCCCAAATTTTATTAAAATCTAGATCTTAAGGATACAATTTTTTTGAGTAAGTCAAATCTTGTCACCTTGGCTTGTAGGGATTGAATTAAGTTTAGTCGATGGATGAGTGCATCTATAACTAGGTTACACTTCCCTGATTTGTGTTTCAAAACAAAGTGGAAGGCACCCAAATATTCAACCCAAGTTGCGTGTCTTCCATATAATTTTTGTTGTTGTAGTTAAGGAAGCGTACGACTTCAAGATTTGAGAACAGAATGAATTTATGGGGTAAAAAATAATGATCCAATGATGAAAATCTCAGATTATAGCATCAAACACTTTAACATACACTGAATATTTCCTTCAGGAATCATTGAAGTTTTTGCTAAAAAAAGCAATCAAATGGCCCATCAAGCTGAAGACAACACCTATCACCAAATTGGAAGCATCATAATCTAACTCAAATACGTCGTTAAAATTGGGTAAAGACAAGATAGGGGCAATGGAAACTCCTTGTTTTAGCTATTCAAAACTATTGGTAGTAGCTTAATTCCTGTGAAATTTTTCAATTTTGAGAAGCTCAGTGATAGGGGTAGCCAAGGAGCTAAAATTCTTTATAAATTGATGATAGAAGGAGACCAGACTATGTAACTGTCAGAATCCGATAGCACCTTGGGGAGTTAACCAGTGAATAATAGCATCAATTTTGGTTGATTCAGCTTTGATTCCTGTGGAGGAGATGACAAAATGACAAATCCCAAAAGGATATCTTACTAATCAAATAGTGACACTTTTGCGGGTTAGCAAACAGCTTTTGTTCCCAGAGGATATTAAATACATTTTATAAATGGATGATATTAGCATCAATGGCGTGACTATACACTAGAATATCCTTGCAGTAAACTACTACACACTTGATCATTATTGGTTGGAAAACTTGGTTCATGAGCTTCATGAAGGTGCTGGGGGTGTTGGAAAAGCCAAATGGCCGGCATTAAGGTCCATTCGTATAAGCTTTCCCGTATTTTGAATGTGGTTTTCCTCTCATCTCCTTGTCCCATATGAATTTAGTGGTATTTGTTTCTCAAGTCAATTTTGGAGAAAAAGGCATCTCCGTGAAGTTGGTCAAAAATGTCTTCGATTGATGCGAGGTATAGAAAAATGATATTTTATCATAATTTTGTTAATGGATCAGTTGTATATGCAAATGTGAAATGTGCCATCTTTTATGGAACCAACAGAGTAAGAATGGCACACAAACTGGAACTACGGCATATAAATCCTTTGTCAAGCAATTCATCGACCTGACACTATAGTTCTAATTATTCTTCTAGACGGAGTTGATAAGTAGGTATGTTGGGCAGAATCGACTTGGGTATGAGCTCCATTTTATGTTGTATATTACAAAATGGATGCAACTAGAGCTTCAGGTAGTTCTTGCGCTAAGACGTCTTCATAGAGCTATAGTAACAGATAAAATACTTCAGGCACCATTTGATGCTACTCATTCTCTTCTAATAAAATCAGGAGAAGGCCCTTTTGTGCCATTCTCAGGGTTTGGAGAAACAAGGTGGGGTTGAACAACTTTGATGATGAGGCGTCTTCTTCTTCTATAACTAGTGATGGTAATTAATAAAACAATTTGTTGATTGTTGTGCAAGAAGGAGTAAGTCTTCGTGGTGTCGTTATGCATGGTGCCTTTGTCAAATTGCATGACCGACCCAATAGGTGGCAAGCATCCATGGGCACAACATCTCCCAAGACTCAATCCTTGAAGTGGCCAATAGAAAGATCAACCAGACATCATTTGTAAACAAAAAAAAAAAAACATCATTTGCACATCTTAACTTCACCATTTTTTTGGATCCATTAAACTGAATACAGTTTCGGGTGATCTGTAGTTGTTAGTTGTAGTTTTTTCACCATGAGGGAAGCTACTACATTCTTGTAACACCCACTATCTACGATCACATTACACACTCGGTCTTTTACAGTGCATTTACTTCTAAAGATATTGTGATGTAACCATGATTCCCCTTTGTGTGGTGTTACTGTTTTATATATGTTAGTTGTGTGCTTCTGCTGCTCATTTGTCTCGTCTTGTTTGTAGTGCTTACCAATTATTAATATGTTTCTGTGGAGGTTTTTACTACAGGTTGGATAATGCTTACCTTGGCTTTTGTTGGCTGGTGCTTGTTCTTAGTCTTTTGGTTTGGCTTTTCTTTCTTTTGCAAATGTTATGTGTTGGCTTCATTGAAGATCAAGCTTGGGCATTTTTTGTGGTTTGACTTTTAGCCTCCTTGTTGATTTTCCCTTTCTTTTTATGTAATTAGATAGGATCATTGGTCTTTCTGGTTTTCTTTTAAATTTGGATGTGTTTTTTTTGTGATTTACAGAGCATTTGATCATTTAAGGTCCTGTAACCTTTTCCTTATCAAAGCATATATATATGCATAGGCTTGTTGGCGGTTTTTCCCAATATTATATATATATATATATATATTTCAATGCAGTGACAAGTAGATTAAAGATAGATAATTCAATGACAGTACAGATAAAATGTAAACTAGGACAGAAGTAAGAAATGCCTAAATACCCTCTTTTGCCTTGCATGAGATAACGATGATTCAAGTTGTCTTTCCAGTTGCTGCAATTCCTTCAAACTCAGCATATCTAGGTCTTCCCCAAGCAGATGCCTTCACAGGATTTACGGTTCAGATTATTTCAGTTATTATATATTCTGTAACAGCAATTATAAGGAAGGTTCATGCAGTCTTATTAACGGATTACTAACAGGTAGCTTCTAACTAAATTTTATGATGAAATAAAACAAAAGTATATGCAGTAGTATATATTAAATTTTATCTAATAACAAGAAGGAACCTCTGGGAACGCTGCAGAGATTCATATTTTGCCTTCAGCTTTGATAATTCTTGATACCAGTTCTGCATTAAGAAAACAATGAAAAGCAATGGCAGGATTATTATTATACTATCGATTAATGACAATTTTGCAAGAACAACAGTGACAAATGCACAAATTGATAACATTATAGTGCATTCTAATCAAGATAAATAAGGAATACAAATGTTCCAAAGAGAATTCACAAACTAGCACAAGATTTGGATAGTGTAAAAGCTAAGTAGCTTTTAATTTGCTAGTTAAACTAGGGGTTTGAACTACTTTTCTGGCAAAACCTCAAGAAAAGAGGAGTTGACCGCTTATGTTTCTAAACCTGGATTTTGGCATATTGACTGGATTAAAATAAAATATTCTAAGTACCCAATATGAAATCTAATCGTACTAATCAGATGATAAATATATCCTTCTTTTGTTTAGGTGAGAAAATGTCAATTTAAATTAACATTTTTAAATTGGTTCAGTTTTCAACACTAGAGCTCAAATTTTCGATGTTTCATTTATCACATGGATAAAATTTGCAATAACTTTAATATTTTGTATATTATTATTATTATTATTATTATTATTATTATTATTTATTTTAGTTTAATTTATTTTATTTTATTTTATTTTTGAAATAAAACAAATTCAATTTTCTACAGTAGAATTCAAATTTACGAGAAGAAGGTTTATATCAAAATGCCTTAATTCATAAGATCAACAACTCATGATTACTAAAACTTTTATTGGGATGGAAATTAATTTAATTATTGAAACAATATGAGCTTCTCTAATGGCCGTGTTAATTAGACGTCTCTATTTGCATCTGCCTATTGCTTGGTGATTCCAGTTGGATCTCTAGTTTTTGAAGTCCTGAAATTGATTCAGCAAATCTGCTAGCAAAAGGATTCTTCCCCTTGCTGCTACTACAACGCATTCTTCAACGATTTATATTGTATATGTAGTAGAAAAGTATAATTTCTAGCACTTTCTGCATGAAATTTTTATATAAGATAAAACATTAATCTATATAAATGAAATCTATGCACTGTAGAGAAAAATTGCTTATAATTATTATTTTTTTTGTCAAATAAAGACAACTGATGAATAGAGATTTAGAACTTTAAATTTGCATAAATTTAAATCATTTTGTTCGTTGTAAAAAAAGTCGACTGCAAATACTTTAAGCTAATGATGATCATAAGTATAAGCTAACATTGTAAGAAAAAAATAGTATTTTTCATTGTAATATATACATTTAACAAATGAAATACAAATGTTATTAATATTTAAGAATGGCATATTGTGATCTACACATATATTCTCGAAAGATTAATAACATGAACACAATATTGAATGTTCATTCAAGATACAAGGAAATACCTCTACCGAGATCCCACACAAAAAAAAAAAAAAAAAAGTTTTAGATGTGAGTGTTAAATTTGTTTTAAATTATTTTCATAGCATAAAATCAATCGAACAACTTGTATAGCATAAAATCAAATGAACAACTTTGAGCAAGCATTAAAAAAGAGAACCCTGAACTACCATAGCATTGAATAAAATAATGGCATTAAGTATGGTAATACAAACCAGTGTTTCATGATCATTCGGATGGATAGTTTGAGGTGTAAAAGTGCATCGTTGATAGCGCTCTAACGTTTTTGTTATACTGCAACAAGAAATTAAGAGCAAGGAAGAAAGCTTTTTGTTAAATAAATAGAAGTCCTTAGGTCAGAAATTGGAAGATAAATTGAATAAAAAAACCTGAAAAAAGGGAATTTGATAGGACTGCAAATTTTAAAAGTAATAATGAACACATCAAAACTTCCTAATAATAATTAGTTATTATTTTGAAGAGTGGATGGCATTATGCAAAGGAAAATTATCGCTTTGTTTGGGATAGTTTTATACCATTATTTTTTCACATTTTTTAAAAAAATTTTGCATTAAAAAGCTGATTTAGAAAGCAATAAGATAGCTCCCAAACGAAGCCAAAATTTTTGTAAAAATCATATTTTGTTAAGAAATTTTGTTTATGAAAATATCTTATAAGAGCTTATTTGTTTGTTTGCAAATAAAAAATATGTTGATTTCCTATCATATTTAGTGGGTGATTATGAAATTTAAATTTGATGGGTTATTTTTAGGAGATTTGTTGAGGTTAAAATTAATGTTAGTTTCTAGCTTCCTCCAACAACAATGGATCATAAAATTTTAATGTTTTTTAATGTTTTTCTACAATGTTTTTTTTTTTATTAGAATTTCATTATTGAGAATTTGATGAAATGAATATTAAATTCTCTTGTTTTTATTTTTACCCAAAATTTATTATATATTTATATTTCTTGATGATTTATGAGCAAATATGTACATGAAGCAAACATTTAATTAATTGGGAAACACGTTTAATATTCGCATCACAGATAGATTTTTTGTTATCTCCATTATGTCAATTGCTATGTTTACTTAGTCTATGTATACATGTTATGCAAACTTTGAAGTTCTTATGGAAAATTGAAATATGCACACAAGCATTATGAGATATTGATGTTCTTAATTCTTATATCTTTTTTTTTTTTTTTTAATGTTATTTGAGCGTTTTGACTTCGAAATCATTACTCTTAAGGTAAAATGTGATAGGACAATTTTTACTACCACAAATCTAGTCCATTAAATTAGGAATTACCATTAATCTATGTTGTTTAAAAGATTCTTTGGCATCCAATTCCTTCATTTTGATGTGAAGTATAATATTTACGCTATTAAGCAACTACCCAATATTCTCAAGAAAAATTATACTCCAATAAAAATGGGCTTAAGAATTTTTTTACAAAAAGATGTTTAAGAAATTTAAATATATTCAATCTATTTAATAAGTTTGAGCATATGATTTTTTTTTAAGGAAACTCATTGACTGGCTTACATGTCATTTGAAATGATCTAACGCTTGCTATCGCTCACTAGAGCAAACATACAAAATTAAATTAAAACCTAAAAGCGGAAGATCCCACCTAACAATTCGAACACATGATTAATCAATGAAGAAGGTAAAATTTTAACGCCAGAATAAAATGAATATATATATATATATATATATCTGTGTGTGTGTGTATGTGTGTGTTTATTTATAAATTAGTTTTGTATTTTCATTTTGTTCAGGTATTAAATTCATGACATTGTAATTATGAGTCGTGATATGAACCCAATTCCTTTATACCAAAAAACATATATTATGTTATTAGTAAGGGATCTTAGACTTTATTGGTTTCTTTTCATTCATTTTTTTTGTAGCTCTTCGAGCTTCTACTGAGTTTTTTTATCCCTTTTAAGTACCATGCAATTTTTTGTTTAATTAACATGGACGCCCATTGTGGGTTTTAACGAAAAAAGGTGATGAACTTTTTATTTTATATGTTGAATGTTAATTACTCTTATTCAATTACAATTTCTATTGTTGGTGGCTAGTCAATCACCACATCATTGAAAGATCACCAAATATGAGGTTTATGATTTCGAATTGGCTGTAGAGTTTATCAATAATTTTTAGAGTAAGTATCATTAACTTTTCCTCTATTGAAAATTTCATCATCTGTCCTCTCTTACCACTTTAATAAACTTATAATATATAAGACGACTAACTACTAACTACTCTTTGTTAATCTAAATTTATCTTGTGATTTTTCGTTTACTTTGTATGATTTTCCACATGTGCTTATCAAGCTTTCGAATGATTTAAATTATAGTAGGGTTTTTGCCACTGTTTTTACTATGTATTTAACTATTTTATGATGCTTATTAAATGATCTCCTATGTTTGATATCCATGAGGAATCCTTGATTGTGCTAGTCTGGATCTTGTTCCCTGATTTAAGACCTCACATTTTTTCTCCTAGAATTCCTCATGGGCTTAAATCCTTATTTGTCCATCCTTTACAAACTAATAATGCCATTGCTCATGTTACTAGACCCTTTGTTGCTATGTACAAAATTTACCAGAATAATGTTTGGATTGGCCCTAAGAAATTTGGTTGTGCAAAATGTGGGTTTTACCAATTTTCTTTCCTTTTGAGATCAATGCAAGGTCCTTGGCCATGCAAAAAAAGAATGTTTTATTCTTCATCCCAATCTCAAAAAGTAACATCCTATGATACCTAAGGATCATATTTTTCAACCCTCAAATGACAACCCCGATCTCAACATAGATACATTTGTCATCCCCCAACCCACTATATTTTTAATGCCTTGGGTAATATTAACGAAAAGTTATAAGGGATGATTCTCCTAATGGAGATATTATTTTGCATCCGACGAATAAAGTTATTCCAGTCTCTCCAACTAATAGCGGTAACATTGTGATTGCTTTTCCTCCTACGAATGGGAAAATGATGGATGCTATAAACATTGTAGTTAACGCATCTAAGTTGGTTCTTGCCTCTAACTATCCTGATGTTGGGGATCATATTACCAAGCAGGATTTACATTTGATTTCTGAAGTTGTGGATGATAAAGACTATTTAGATGTTTTTGACAAAGTTCCTATTACTAACATTTCTTGCTCTATGTTACTAGATGAGGCTTTGCTTTCTTTGGGATTGGAGAAGCAATATTTGAATGATTTATCTACTAGTAACAATTCTAAAAATTAAGACCAGTTAAATGATTCGTCGGGTGTGAACAATAATGTTGGGGAAGTTAATGTTGATGAAAGCCATGCTTTGTTGGAGGATATCAATTTTGATATTGTGAATTTGACAATGATGATTTTTATACTGTATCAGGGAAAAAAAAGAATAAGAAATCTAAAAATAAAAAATTGGTGCAAAACTTTAAGTACTATATCATCTAAATATAAATTTCCTCAAAATATTTAGTTTTTGTTGGTTTTCTATTTTGGTGGGGTTGGGTTTTTTGGTGCTACTCCTTTCTGTTTGTAAAGTCTATCAGGGTTCAAGATCAATTCTTTTGCTTCCAATGCTGGTAGTTATTTTTATGAATCTCCATGGCTCTAGTTCATCTGTTCTCATTTTGTGGGTTGTGTTTGGACGTTTCCTCTATTTGTTGGTGGAGTGTTAGTTTCATTCCTATGTTTGTTGTTCATTTATTTGGCTTTGCTAACTTGCCAGTCTCTAGAGTTTCTCTTTTTCTGCAGGTGGGTCTCTGGATCTTGTATTTGATTATGTTTGGCTTGGTTGTTTTTCTCAGCCTCTGTGTTTGAGTCTGTTCATTCAGTTATTCTCCTTTCACTTTTTGATTGTAGTTATTAGCTTCCTAGCTTCAATCTCTGTTGTTAGTCAATAATTTTGTCCTTTTTTGTTTAGCTTTATATTTATTTTGTAACTAGTAAAGAATCTTAGACTCCTTAGAATTTTATTTTCTTTTTTAGTACAACTTTTTGATCATTTATTGAGTTTTTGATCACTTTTAAGGGCCTTGTATCTAATTTTCCTAATTAACGTGTAAGCCAATTTTGAGTTTTAATTAAAAAAACATACTTTGAATGACGTGTCAACGAAAATAAAATTTCTTGAAATATTCTCATTATACTTAATTATCTCTAAATTTCTTATGATATATGATATCATTGAATGAGAATATGGCTAGATCTTAACCCCTTTATCTTTTTTCTAACTATGTTTTGACCTTTTAAATTTCTTATGATATATGATGTCACTGAATGGAAATATGGCTATATCTAAATTCTTTTATCTTTTTTATATAATATTTTTTTATCAATGAGAATTAACTTACTTTAAATAATTAGTATTTTCTCTAATTCATAGTAATAAAATTTATTTATTTATGAACTACTAACATTGTTAAGAAATCAAAAGTAATCTAAAATTAACGACCCACAAAATTTTGATGATAAGCAAAATGCCGGCTAAATCCTTAGAGATATCGCAGATCATTAAATACCCCTTCGTAACCATTCGATGGGACTTTTCGAAAGATCCAGCTCTCTGGTTGATTTAAATAATCGACAAGTACGTACAACGCTTTCATCCCATGCCGGATCTTTACACAGCGTTCCGTATTGCTCTCTGTCTTATTTTCTCGCGGCTAAACGTAAGCCTTTGACAGGGCTAGCCATTGGTGGCCTGCTACGCCTAAAGCTTGCTTTACCAGGAAACGTGGGATAAAGACAAAAGAGAGGAGATAAGGACAAATCAAATCAGTTCTCTCTTTAATTTCCCCTCAACGCAGATCGATTTCTGCAACTACTTTTCTAACCAATGATTGTACTTTAAGCTATCACTGACGACATGGCTGCAGCAGTAGAATACATACTTGCATGGCCTTGTTCTTCCAGTACGTATGATGTCTATATACTGCTATGCTTGAATAAAGGCACTTTAAGAACACGAGTAAAAAAAATCAAGAAAAAATTGCGAGGAGTCCTTATGCCGGAACTTAGTTTTTTTTTTCAAAATAAAAACTTCTCTAACCTTATCAAAAGCATCGATATTTTCTATATGCACAACATATTCCTCTTCTAGTTTTCTCTCTCTTTCAGAAAGCATCTCTCTCCCTCTCATTCTTTCTTAGGGTTTCCCTCTCTATATTATATATCTCAGCTTTTAATTCACAAATCTTTCTGCAGTCTATCCCAAGCTAGTTCTTCATTAAAAGGAGAAGTTTTTAAGTAGTAGTACCCAGAGTTGCTGTAACT